ATCGCGGAGGTAATGTATCGAAATAAACCAGCGACTTTGTACATTTTAGTGTTTGATTCATCTTCAAAATTGCAATCTGGTATCTTAATGGGAAACTTGGTAGAATACGGCGCTTTCAAGCAATGCTTAAGGATTTATAAGGCGACACCAAACGGACCTATACGTGGCAAACATTGCACTTTTCGGATCATTCTAGGAGAGAGAATACTCAGAACCGTAATGGGATTCCACAACGTTTCACAAAAGGTACACAATTAAAAGAAATGTTTTGTACTCGGTTTTTTATTATTATTATTAAAAACAACTTCTTTATTTTGTACATTTTGATCTGATTTTACAAATCATAAAATAAGAGTATTTGTATGCAAGAGCAAAGAATATTCATTTCAATGATTTCATCAATATTTATGCATGCTGACATGTGTGAATTACGATATTTTGATCCTCTTTTTTACAAAACGAAAATTGAACTACTTAGTAGTCCTGATCTTAATGAAAAAATTAAAAAATAAACTAAAGTTTGCAGTTACAACAATAACTTTTTAAATAATTCGTTAATATTGCACGTGCGTTAAAACGCTATAATTACAGAAATAATGTAAAGATGTAAAAAGCGGGTTTGTGTCTATAAACAAAAATTCTCCCTTTGCCATCAAATTTCCAATTGACCCAAACCTGAAAAAATTGTGGCCGCTTCAAAATCCTCTTTGTGTCAATTAAACCTCACTCAACGTATCCATTAGCGAAATCACGTCTTTAAAATGTTTCTTGCAGCGTTTCGATCTGTTGAAAAAGAGCATAATTGAAGGCGTGCGTTTTATGTGGTCTGTCTGTATCCCCGATTCGTGTCCGTCATCGGACGTTTTCCCCCATTTCAACAAAACAATATCCGAATTGGTTCACGGATTAGATATAACAGTAACGTTAGCGGAAGAAAACTGCATGACTTTATCGACCCGTCCCGAATGGAGTTCAAAGGAGTATTCGTTTTTGTGAGAATTGGCGCACTTGTGGCAACGTTTAATCCAATTTAACTTTTCAGGATTTTAGCAGCTTGTATAATCTTCGGCGTGTCGGTCTGCACGATTATTGATCTGGTAAAACGCGACAGTAATCATTTCGTTAAAATATTTTCGGCGATTTCTAACGGTCAGAAATTGCTCGCGAGAAAAACCAATCACGAGTTGAATTGCTTGCACGGAATTAGATTTTTGAGCACTTGTTACGTCATGTTTGGGCACAGATTCATGACGGGGATGCTCTTTCCCTCAATTAACTCCTTGGAACTGATTGACGTAAGTCATGACAAGAATTTCGACAAATTTAATTAAATTCAAAGCGTGATTCGGATTTTTTTATAGTGGGTGCTTGAATACACAAGCACGCTTATAATTGGAGGGACAGTCTGTGTGGATTCCTTCCTTTTTGTCAGCGGAATGCTCGTCAGCTATGGTTTCTTTGAAAATGTTACAAAAAATAACAGATTTAATGCAGTGTTGTTTTACGTTTATCGCTACATAAGGATCACTTTACCGCTCTCTGTTGCGGTCATTCTTTATTCCACTTTTATACAGTATTTCGGGGAAGGGCCTTTATGGCGTGAAACCTACCAAGCCATGCAGCTACCCTGTCAATACTTCTGGTGGAGCACTCTTCTTCATATACAAAACTACGTCAATCCACAAGCTTTGGTCAGTTACGAAGAAAATCAATATTACTACCATTACAACTCACCAGTTTGGATAGATACCTTTTCCGCTGTTTTCTATTATAATAAACAAACAGTTCATTTAAATCCCAAAATAAACAAACTACTTGCATTAGTATAAGTGCACAAACAAATGCTTATCAAATTTCTCATTTCTAACAAACGTATAGGTACCTAATGGAAATTAGAAAAATATTTATATAAAAAAAAATATTTCCTAAACTCGCACATGAAAACTTAAGCCTGAATATTTACAATTTTCAGTGCATTCCTCAAACCTGGTACCTGACTTGCGAAATGGTTTATTATTACTTTTCTCCAGTCATTCTTTACCCTTTGTGGAAATTACCTAAAGTTGGGTGGGTAATTTTGGCGTTAAGTTACATCGCTTCAGTCGGAATTAATTTTTCGTTGGCTTGGACTCAAGAATATCCAGGAGGGATGCCTTTAACGTAAGTTATTTTAGTGAATTCTTTAAATTTCAAATTAATTCGAATTTAATCTTCACGCTATAAAAATCTTAATTCTTCTAATTGACTTGTTTTTTCAGGAGTCAGCTTTTTCATACTGAGTATTTTCAGCGCCATTATATAGCTCCTCACGTCCGTGCATCTCCATATATAATAGGATTAGGTTTTGGTTATACGATATTCAAAACAAAAGGGAAAAAAATATCCCTGGGTTTATTTTGGAAGCTACTCGGCTGGATAGTGGCATTAATTTTTCTGTTGTGTGTTGTTTTGGGTTCACACGTATTTCAGGAAGAAAATCACGACTACAACCGTTTAGAATCGTCGCTCTACCTTTCCTGTTCTCGATCGGCATGGGTTTTAGGGATTGCCTGGATTATATGGGCGTGCGTTCAGGGCTACGGAGGTAATAAAAATAATTTTTTTTCGCGCTCGTTTAATCATGTTTCAACAAAACACCGGTAAATCTTCCCCAACAATACCGAAAAAATTTCATCAACTTGTTTAATGCTACCTTTTTTAAGGCTTTGTAAACGACATTTTATCCCTGCACGTTTTCCGCATACTGGGCCGACTCGGTTACGGCATTTTCCTTTTTCATATGTGCTTTCAGTTTTTAAAGGACGGATCAGGCCAAATGCCGGCCTATTTTTCAAATTTCCACATGGTAAATATTCCGAGGGAGTAATTTACACATTATTAACGCTTTACGTTTAAGCTGTACGACTGCTTCGGAGATTTAGCGATAATGATAGCCGTCGGAGCACTTTTCGCCCTCTGCTTTGAATATCCCTGCTTAACAATTGAAACTCTACTCTTCGAAAAAAATCCAAAGAAAATTTTATTCAAACAGACTATCTCCAATCTACCATGAAAGCCGATTTTATGCACAAATGTCTGTAATGTACAATAAAACCGGCATGCTTTTGTCGTTTCATACAATACACACGCTTCTACCACAATTTGCACGTTTTATTTCTTTTTAGAAATACAGTCCTTATTATAGATTGTTCCACATTACCAAACCGAAACTCTCCAAACTAATTATTATTTATCCCTCGTGGTTAAATTAAAAACTTTTTACAAATCAAAAAACCAAAACTTTTTAATTGCATTTACAAAAGACCGTCAAAAACATAAAAAACGCTTTAAGAAAAAAAATTAAGTTACACAAAAATACGGTTTAGCTTTTAAAAATGCGGAAAAATATTCAAGTCAATTATTATTAATTGTACCAATTTATCAAATGATAAATGCACATTTTAAAAAATTTTACAATGATAGAATGTTTAAGAATTTGTTTATAAATTTATGCTTTTATTTTTATTTTTTTGTTTTTACAGTTATTGTGCTTTAGAATTATTATAATCGCCGAATAACAAATAAGTTAACTGTCATGTAAAACAATTTTTCGATCAATAAACTAACCAATACCAAAGTCAGTATTCAGTTACTTTGAAGATAAATAAATTTAAGTGAGTAAATCAGAATTAGACCAAAGTTGTCCTAATATTCTCGTACTCTGCCAGTTTTGTGTAGCCTTTGTTGAAAATGTTATTTGTGTCATTAAAACCAAAGATGATATTGTGTAGCGAGTGAAACATTAACGACTCCATACATCATTGATTTTTCTTTTCATAGCTGTTTAAAATGCATGTGTACTTCATTAGACTACAATGTGGGGCAATGTTGAATACATTTTGCAAGTCAAATGGGACCTCAGCAACATGTGCGCGGATACATTCTGAAATACATTATGCAAATAGAAATATTTGTAAGAATCGTGTGACCTATATATCATGTTACATTTATTAATAAAAAAGCGTCAATAGACTTTTATAAGCCTGTGGCAATTTTCGAAAAAACTGCGCAAAGCTCAAGAAAATTTCATTAAGAATTAATTAGTACAGTAATTAAATTTTCGCACCGAAGCCTGTTGTGGGAGAGTACAATTTGATTATACAATTCGCGAGCTTTGAAGACATTTTTTAAGTCCGGTGTAGATATTATTATCTGTTTAATTTATTTAAAAGGAGCTCAAGTCGCTTTTTCAATAAGTAATAAATTAGGGGCATTTTCGTCTGACGATGTTAATATTCTTCACGGCATGATAAATCCTTTTCTTATTCGCGAATGAATGATAATGGAAAGTACTTCAAACAGAAAGGGAGATATTCTAATCTGGTCTCGACGGATTCGAGTTGAAGACAATTCGGCGCCCCCGAAAATTTGGTCATATCACGGAAAAGCGACACGTCAAACGAAAATGGAAGGTAAATTAGCTTCCGAATCTGAACCGGGAAATAAATCACGTGGGAATCATCCGGGGTCTCTCCTTCGAGACTTCCCGCCACAAATCACACTTTAAAACTTTGCAAAACATGCGATACAAGCTTCGATTTTTTCATAATTTTAAAAGCTCGCATAACAAGCGAAATTTTAGTAAGGACGTTTCCGCGTTTCATACTACATTTATCTAAATGTTGCAGCTGTCAAGTGGGAAATGTTTTGGAAAAACTCTCATCACGAGTGAAAGATAAGAGGATTCTGTAACCTTGTCGTGATAAAATTTAGTTGTATTTTCTTTAATTAAAAGAATTCAGTTCAATTAAAAAGTTTTCGGCTGAAATACACCACGTCCTAATCATAAAAGAATTTTACGAGACGCCATTTAACAGGCAGCAATAGAGATAACTGATGTTCCTTGCAATGAAAGGTTTTATTGTTCCAAAGATAGTTTCCTACCGGAATTACAGCAATACACCTAACCAAACTACTCGCGTTTATAATGAAATCAAGCAATTTATTTTTGTAACGTTAAATTAAACGCCATAAACTCGATTATTCAGTTTAAATCGAGCTGTCACAAACCATTGAAATTTTAAAAGCGGAGCTCTTGATTTTCGGACCACATTCATCTGAATCATGTAGCGTCCAAGAGGGACAAATTTCGGAAACTGACTTTCATCTGGCATAAAATTATTTAAGTAATAAAAACCCTAATAAACACTTTATACAAAATAAATTCTCAATGAACAAACGTTAGTATACTTTCTTAATGTCACACCCTTCCAGATTTCCAAATTTCTTGATGAAACTTGCAGTCCCAAAAATATCTTTTCTCCAATATTCGCAAACATTATAAGTGACTTCGATTCCGGTTTTCTTGTATTGGTTACTCAAAAACTGATAAGCGCTTGTAGTAAACTACAAGATTGTAAACCAAAGTTAACTCTGCAATGTTTGTTAAAAACCCACTTCGAGTTTATTGCCATCCAAGTCCTTCAATAACACAAAAGATATATTCAGATAATGATTCGTCCTGTTGTATTTTCTAAACAAAAAATAACCATCTCTTACTAAACCCTTGTCATAATAAACCAATTCAAGTTTTTCGTAATCGACAATATACTCGTACTGAAAATCAATCTAAATTTAGATTTTATTGATCGGAAAGCACTTACAGCGATACTGAACATGCACATGCAAGCCACAAACAAGTAAAGTAACATTTTTCAGTTTAACTGAATTTAAATTATTTATCGCTATATATCCTGAAAAGATAAGAATCGCTCATTACGGTAGCATGTAGTGAAAAACATTAAATGCAGCGTGACCAATTTTAAATTTATGCGACAAAACGCATTTCACACGTAAACGGAAATCTTGGCTTGGATTTCAAAAAAGACAAGTAGTATTTTTTCAACTTGCAAGCAATAACACTTTTCTAATTTTTGTTGCAAAAATCTTTTTAAAAATTTTAAGAAAATAAACAATTTTTGACTAATAATTTCGCGCACTTACAAAAACAGAAAAAGTTGTGGAGAATCACTACGCCCCTCTGTTTGTTCCCTATTTCAAAGTAAATCTATTAAAAAAATTATTAAATATAGCGTAACAAATTTGTAAACTGTTTCATTAGAGAGTGATTAAAACATGTATGTTTACCATGTTTTGATTGTGATAAATCCAGAACAATTATAAGTGCGGTTTAGCCACAAATTTATTGTTTTGTAAAGTAACTAGGTAAATACTAAACCACGATTAACATCCATATTCATTTTATTAACTACCTAACATACGTTCAATGATTTAGCTCAAATTTGTATGTTATAAACCACTGAAACTTTAACACTAAACTCCTGAATTTCGCATCACATCCATTTGTAACTTCCTAATGGTAAGTTTTGTCAGGCATAAAATTGAACAAACAGTTATGTCTCTCTAAACACTTTTATGAAAGAAATTAATCCAACTTTGAAAAATTCACATATTTCCTAAAACAAAAGCTGGTCCTAAATAAAAAAATGCGCATCCTTTGCAACTCTCTCACAACAAATCGATCCAAATTTATCATAGTCAAGAGTTTATACATACTAAAAATTATTTTTTTTAATTTAACCACAACTGCAATACTTTTCTGATTAACTATTTACCTGTGGTGCTGAATTGAAATTCCTGCTGCGAACAGAAGAAAAAATTGATTCTTTATGTATACAAGAAAACTGCCACCAAAAGTTTTAAAGAGGGATTTAGAAGTTACGAATAAAAATTAAAAACGGTACAACAAGTAGAAACCATAATGATTTTTTTTATGATTTTTTCAATTCATTATAAGTTCTTAAATCCAAACAACTCTAATTAATTCATTTTTGCACGAGTTTGAATTAAACTCGCCACCATGTTGTGCTCAATTTTCTCATGCTTTTTTGTCTCTTTTTTACTACATGACGAATTTTGAAATCATTTGAATTTATTTTCGTCGGAAACGACTTTATAGGCTCGTTTCGCGCAATATTTTAACACGCAACTTCTCGTATAAAATTAAGACGTGATAAACATCAACCGAAATTACCTGAAATTGAGGTATTATCACTATTGACGTAGTTAGAAAACTAGAAAACGAAAAAAAAACAAACAAAATTTTTGTAAAATGTGGTGCGTGTTTTGATAATGTATTTTTGTAATTCCCAGTCCAGCACAAATTATTTAATCACGTAGTAATAATTTTTCAAGCAGGATAAAATTAGCTGAATGATAAGGATCGGCCATTAGAGAGTAGAATGAATAAAAACTGAGTTTTGATAATTTTAACAAAACGTTTAGGGTTTTGGTTTAAATTATTCAATAGTGAGAGGGTTGAATAGAGGATTAATTGGCCGGCCTGAATTTAGAAATGGGAACTACAAGTTGAACAAGACTTTGTATTTCAAATGGGTCTTAATTGAAGGTAGATTTTTGACGTGTAATCAGATTTAACTGGTCTAATTTAGCGTGAAAATAAATTGCAAAGATAAGCATCGACCACAAATGATGAGTATTTAGTGGAAGTAGCGATTTCCTTTACTTAACAGGCGGCCGAAACAGAAAATGTAATCGTTTGGGAGTTTTTCGGGTCAAGGTAAGTAATGTTTCCAAGTTTAATCCAAGCTTCATTACTATTTGATGACATAGAAAATGCGAAATGTAATAAAAAGAAATGAACCGAAATATATTTACATGCATGCGCAACATCGGTCTGTCTCGGGAATAAACTACATTAAAGTTGATTATTTTTGCCAGGAAATTGTGCTAATGATTTATTAAAAATTCGTTACATTTCGCGTCGACGTAAATGGAGAGTTTGCCATAATTAAACAAAGTTTATCCTAATGAATTTACGCCTTTATCTCCCGTTTCTGATCAATTTTTCACCGGAAAAAAACCTCATTTACAATATTCCAGGATTTACCGAGCGCAAATACGTTGGTTTGCTCACAAACGGTAAACAGTGGCATTGTTCAGTAAACAATTTCTATTTCGAACACGCCTCAAGTAACTAAATCCGTTTCTAGCGCGGGGTAATCCAAGTCTTCTCAACACGTGTACAACGTTATATATCCACAAGATCTCGACGGTGATTAGCTCTTTAAGGTCATCTCGAGGGTCCTTTGAACTTCGGAGTTGTTAAGCTTGTGGGATATCAGTGGTCCCCTGCAAATTATCTTTATGGATGCATTACCGGAGACCCGAGCTTTATTCTTTAATTTTAAGTCCAAAAAACGACACCCGAAATCCCAAAGGACATTTTTAAAACCGACTTCGCCACACACAAAAACTCAACCGAATAGAAATGGGGCGATTTATCGATTAACTTCGTTTACATTATTTGATAAATCAATTTTCACGCCGCACCGAAACGAGACAAGTTTACAATAAACGCGGCCTTTGATTTATTGCATCGAATCCCGAAAGCAATATTTAGGTATGCAAAATTCGTTTTTTGAATAAATTTTTTCCTTTCTTTTGTTTACAGCAATAATTACGTACGTTGTAAGTCTAATGGCTCAGGTAACTTTTCTTATTTCTTCCTCTAATATTTTTTATTCCATTTAATTTAATTTTTTTCAAAGTTGTTTAGAGTTTCCATTGACTTATTATTTTTCTGTTTCAAAGTAAGTAACTAAAAGGTTTAACTTTTGTTTGTATTGCATTTTTTGAGTAGCTTTTAGCATGAGTTGAGATCTGATTGCCTTTATCATCGCCCGTAATCCAAGAAATATTTCTTGAAAACAGTATTTAATTTACAAATTTGGCTTTGATCTTGAGTATTTTTACTGTTGAAATTATTTACACGATCGTCCAGGTAATAAGACAAATTTTGGGTGTTTTCCCCCTTATCCGAATTATGCTTATCAGACAGACTTGTTTGTTTAAATTCCATGTTACATAATTTAAATTGATCGGAACAATTCAACCGCACCCACCAAGTATGAATATGAGGCAAATTAATATCGGTTTGTTATTTTAGTATACAGGGTGATTTTTAAATAGACCGACAAAATTTTATCAGAGCTTCCCAAGGATAAGCGAAGATTAACTGTACCCTTTTTACGTTTATATCTTTTAGGGGCGAAACCCCCTTGATCCGTGCCACTTACGGCGTTCATGAATTGTTGCAATGATCAAGTACATTTTCATTACGTTAATACCATGGTTTCCACTACCTGTGCTAATACTATTTACAAACACATCAGTGGCGTACGCTTTACCTCAAAAATAACTTTAATAAATTTTATTTGGAGAACTATTAAGCAAAGAATTTTTTTCATATTTTTTCCAGCATGTACTCATTTGATTCTACCAAGGATAAAATTTTGTCGGTCTATTTAAGAATCACCCTATAACAAATAACCTTGTAAAAATAAATACAAATTTCTCCTGTGGCTAAAGATAAAGCTTTCGTGTCTGTAAAGAAAACAGCAAGGTGTTGGTAAAAAGGCTTTGACTAAGTAGTATTCTAGCATCAACCTGTCGTTTCTAATGAGCAACTCCGTCGTCTTAATTATAATGTTATAATGAAGTTAGTTTGTAATAAGCAGAGTTCATTTTGCGATGGTTTCCGGCAAGCCGGACCGGAAAGTCTCTTCTTCTTGCCTCGTCTTTGTCACAGTTTTTTTTCGTATAATTTCCCAACCCGTCTCAAATAAGGATCCAAGCTTCAAATCGGATATTTACAGCTGCTTCTTTCACGAGATTCCTCCTATGCAATGCTCTGCTGAACCAATAAATTGACTTACCGCCCTCCGCATCCGAAATTATGATATATTTCGTATTTTCGCCCTCGGAAATATTTTTTTCGCCGACTTCACCTAATTGCTAAACCATCTGTGTCTTCTCACGTGCGAGACGTCACGTAAGACGCTTACGTACAAGCATGAAACCACTATGACTTTAACGAGACCAGACATGAGGTGGAAATCTTAATAAGGACACGAACAACTTGGTTTTACACAAGTACAAAAATTTTACTAAGTAAAAGCCAATTTTACGCGCTTGTTTAACTCCGAAAAGGATTTTTATCAATACAAACGACTTTGAAATGAGTTTACGAAGACATCGTCATGATACAAAAATCAATACGGACGTGCTTTACATTTAGATTTAACTTTACCGCTCAGATTCATAAGGGAATTTCGACAACGATATTAAACATTTGCTTACACTACACACGAATTGCTTTATTCGCATTCGTTCCAATTATCCACGACAAGACGGCACCAAATTACGTGCACCCAAAAATTATCAAAGAACGGATATCGGAAACTGAGAACCAATTTCCCAACCCAACCGAGCGTTATTCAACACAAATTAAATTCCATAATCAAAAATTACACAAACATTCTGCTATCTGCAGCAACAAAATCATCAAACGCATTAAACAAAATTACACAACTCACCAGAAAGTGGCACTTACTAGACCACCAGTCTCCACAAATAAATATTAGGTATAATAATAATACATAGAAGTAAAAAACGCATGTTTTGCTTTTAATATTTATTTTTTATTTTATTTATTAAAGAGAAAAACAATACCCAATTATTAGAGATTAACCCTAACGACAACGTCATTTAATTGTCGTGTCAAAGGCAAAAGACGTATTCCATCATTGAAAATCGTTTACGTAAACTAGAGTTTCTATATTTGATATTTAATATAGGGACTCTAACGTAAACGACTTATTATTTTTTG